AACCTATCGCAACCTGTGCTGGTCATTATATAAACTAGTTGGTTTTTCATTTTATAAACAAAAAACCTATCCCACACATTTTATAAACCCACAAATTTTATACAATGCAAAATCAGCGCGCCTATGAACAATCACGGGGGATGTATATATATGATTTTGTTTGGATATCATATGATTTCATTCTGCAGTGAGCTGACGGGGCTTCTAGTGGCATTCTTGTTTTTTAGTGGTGAGGCGGTGAGGTTGCTGTTCCTACGGCTGACATGGCAGTACAACTACAGCCAATGGAATGCTCCCCAACAGTACAACTACAGCCTGCAAGGGCAAGATAATCAACCAGAAGAGATCGGGACCCAAAGCACACATTCACCCAGACGACAAACTTCCAGTGGACGCAGTTCCCAGCCTCCGATGCTACCTTCTTGGGAAGTAAATGGATCACGAAAGGTGACCTGGTAAGCGTTACCTTGCCCTTGCTTTCGAGAGCAAGCGGGTCGGTCGAAGAGCTTCGCAGGAAGCAACCATTGAGATAGTAGGTGGTGTCTGCAACGTGCGCAGCAGTTTGCAGTATATATACGCCATACAGGATGTCAAGGACATCAACCTGATGGATGTAGCTGGCTTCAATCGGAAGTGCCTTTCGCGGTGGACCGTCGTGTCCGACTAGCTCCAACCACTCCCAGCTGGGTCACAGCGGCAGAATTTGTCTCTCCTCTTCGACGCGCCTGATGTGCATGCGGAGCAGCTTGACAAGTAGTGAGCATGGAAACAAGTCCAATCAGTAGAGGTCGTCTGTTGCGATCAGATGATCTCTGTCTTCCAACCCCGTTCTCAGAGGTGCATCAGTTCATGCACGCATGCAAGAGAGACATCAAATGGAAGGCAAAGCCAGAACAGTGCAAACTAGCACTCACCTAGCCCTTTACAGAGCGTCAAAGCCCAACAATGAGCCAGCTGCTCAAAGTCGTAAAAGATCGGAGCGGGCCGCGAGTGAACCCTCGCATAAGCGCGGAAGAGACCCATGAACCTGCCACTGCCACTGCTCACCACCCTCTTTCCTGTGACCCAGCCTTCCGTTCAACGGAGAGCGGGCGGGCGCGAGCACGGAAAGCAGTGTCCAGTGCCAAAATCACCTGTGCCTGACTTGCCACTCCAACGCTCCCCGACTGGATCCAAGCCCACAGTCGGTTTGCGTTGTTGCAATCGGCACAGATGCTTCCTCTCAAAGGCCACTTGTGGCAAACTGGGCACTCCTTGGGAGAAACGGGTTCTACCATACACCCGAGCTGATGAGCCCAATGCTACGGTGGGATAATGCATGATTCTTGGTTAGGTATTGGGGCATCAGTACATATACAGTATATATATAATGATATAGAATGGATATATTATATATGTGTATTTAACACTTAATGTTTCTATGCACCTCCAACAACCACATTTGATTGATTGAATTTCTAATCAGCTTTCCTCCGAAAAGAGCATCCCTCCTCAACTGATGAAGAAAGGCGGTTGCGGCGGAAAACATGCAATTCCAAAGTACGATTTGTATGGGATAATTTCATTATGAATGTGTAGGATTTAATCATATTTAATCAATCTATTGTCAATCTCTATGTTTATTTTCATGGGAATACCTATATAAAGGGAACCAAAAAGGGATTGTCTGAGACAACTGTTCATCACATGCTGAGGCGCTGTGAGCCGAGCAAGGCCACCAGTTGGCTGACAAAGCCTTGGCAATTCTCAAATGCTCTGACCATGTTCTCGTCCTCGCTTTCTTCTTGTCACAAACCAAGACTTGACATGATTCGAGAGGAAGAGGTAATTGATAAATGTGCAGCCTGTCAAAAGGTCTTGAAGGATTGAAGCTAGATTTCAGTAAACAGCACGACAAAACCAGATTGATCCAACACACATCTGGTTGCAGTTGCCACATAGCACCACGGTCTGCGCATGGCTGAAGACCTGGGAGGCGATGTGACTGGTGAGGCTGAGACACTGAATCAGTGAACCTGAGGTGGAAACTGTGGTGATCTGCAAGCAGCCAGGGCATTTCACATCCATGAAGAAGCTGTTCCTAAGAGCATTCAGAAACATTAGAACAGGTTCTAGAATTCTAGAACATGAACTAACAACTTGGTGCAATCACCTGGCGAAGAAAGATATCACAACAACGCGCACACACACACACACAGAAAGTCAAAAAAAAACAGCCCACAACCACGTGCAGCCGCAACATGCTCAGCTTCTGTGTGTGAAGATTAAAATACAAGCTTGTGACCCGATTATGTTGTGTGCTCTATGGTCCGACATAAAAACGAGCGCAAGCTGGCCCGCTGTGCCTCTCCTGCCAAGTAAATCTATATTGATTGTCTTCAACAGTTGCCTGTGAAACATATTCAAGCACATTTATTGATTCATTGTCCAACAGCCTTGAAGTGCCAAAGCTTCACTTTCTGCGACGATCATATGCCTCTTTCGTGCCAAGCCGCGGCGACTGGATCATTCGCTTTAGCTTGTGCCTTGACTTCTCCTGATCGCGCCGTCGCTTGAAGCTCACTGGTTGGCACAAATTTGGATCAGTCTCAGAATACGGCATGAGTTTGAAGTCTATTTCAATTGCCTTTTGAGAAGGGTTACATGCAAACCAGGAGCATTCCGAATCTGGCAATGGCTGCCACTATTCCACACTGCTGTTCTCCTCCGCGGGATCTGGATGCAATAGGTCAATGTCCATGAGGAAAGCCGCTAGCACAATTCTTCCCTTGCGAGCGTCTTCGTCTTCGAGATCTTCCGAGAAAGGTTCCAAAAAGGAGAAAGCGGATAGGGGTGCTGATTTACCCTGACCCCCGAGGGTTGTCATTTTATGTTATAGATCTAATTTGCACCCCCCCCACGATAAAATCCAAACCCCCAGGTAATGACAAAAGGCTTCAGATTATAGAATGACAGCTGACAGCCCCCATGTTTGTAATCTTGACCTCACAAGACATGCTCCCAAGGTGGTCCACTATAGAATCATACACGCCAATAGCCATAGCAGGTCGCTGACGAGCTCTGATCTATGTTTCTCTATAAAATCAAGGTACCCAGCGTGACATTCCTCGATGATGAGAGCAATCAAAATCGAGTCCTCTAGTTTATGTAGAGTGACAGACCTGGAGTGTGTCAAGTTTGCATGGGATTCGATGTTCGAAGCCTACTAGGAGCAAGAAGCTACTAGGAGCAAAGGGCATTGCTACTAGGAGCAAGGATGCTACTAGGGGATCCTGGCCTTACTACTAGGAACAAAGAAGCTACTAGGAGCAAAGGATACTGAGACTATGCAGCCATCATTCGGAGTCCAACTGATCAAATGGATGAAGGGAGTCCAGTCCAAACAAACCTATTGGCATTGAAGGAAGGACAACTGGTCCCAAACATGCTTCTACTCAAGCTGCTTCATCCAGCTCCAACTCATCCTCTCGTCTCCCTTGGCCTTATTGTCTGTTCTGAGGTGCAACCGCTGGGAGCCGAGAGATTGCAAAGTTGTTTGACAGTGCAACAGATTTGCAAGGAGCTTCTTTTTCAATCTTTGAGACATACCTGAAGTATTAGATGCATGATTGATACGGTGGTCGTACCAAGCCTTTGGACTCGCGGAATCCGCGTTCACGTCAAAAGACAAAGAGACAAAGAACATGTCCCGCTCTTCAGCCGCATCTCTTTCTTTCACGCTCCAGGTCACGAGCTGGAAAACGCCTTGAAAGATTCATTCAAAGCCTTAGAAAGGAAAGGGTGACGGGTGCTTGGTGGGTGAGATTGGAGCATCTTCTAAAATCCTGGGAGGTGCTTGCACAAAGATGCACAAATACATTTTGTAGGAAGCTCATGCAATAACTTATTAATTTGCAACAGCATCATGCGACACATGGAAAGAGTGGCATGCAGAACTGTTCACTAGAAGAGAACCGCTTGCCTGAAGGGATTTTCACTGAAACGCAGTTTTACTAAATAATATGGATTGATTGCATCAAATAGAGACGAAAGAATGCTCTGCAACGTACTGTACCAGCTTGGAGTGGAATGGGATAGAGCTTGATTGATTCGGCCAAGTCCGCCACGTTGAAGATCCGATCCGCCCGAACTTGTTGTTCCGAGCTTGCCTTCGATGAACAAAACAGTCGGATAGCAGGGCTCGCAGGCTCAGCAAGACATGCTTTGCTTTTCGTAAGGTCGATACTGACTGATGCCGATCTGGGTGAGCCTCAGTCAGCACATTGGGTAAGCCACCCATTCCTGAACATAACCTGCCCACATTGGTATTCTGAACCCCCTTCATTACTTAATCTCAAGAATAGCACAACAGGTTGATATAGGTTGTAATTACATGCCAAAGGGTCATAAATCATAAAGGATCTAATCATGCAGATGTTAGCTGCACCATGATTGACATCGTTGTCAACTATTCAATCATATTCAACCCCTGAAGCGCAAACTGTGGTCCAAACCAGCAGAATGGCCTTGCGATAGTTCTTTTTGATGCTGCTGTCAGCAACTAACCTGGCAGGCAGAAGGGTCAATTTGTGACTCGATGCAAGAGTTAGATAGGCAATGCCAATGGGCCAAAGCAACGAGGACAATTCGAGGCTGAAGCGGGCTCTTTACAAACAAAACAACGAACACCCTGCTAAGCCGTTGAGTGGACACGTCCAAACTGTCTTCTTAGACAGGTCGGCTCCACTCTGATAAACTCAAAGGCTTCCAACCTGCGGACTTGTGCTGATGGGATCTGGTGCAATGGTGAGCTCCAGACAACACAAATTGCCTGCAGATGCAAAGTCATCAATATCTGGACCCAGTCAGTCGTTCGGTTCTCACTCGCTGCCCGCTGCCTGTTCCCTCCCACATCACGGTGTGCATCGTGCTCAGAAGTGTCCTCCCACATGCCACGTCTGTGACGCTTGCTATTTTGGGCCTGACTATGCCTCAATGCGCGTAGGATTCCAAAGGAAACGCGGTGTAGTGCACATGAAACACTGCAACACTGTCCTGATCTCTTTGTAGGACTGTCCGTCAGGTGTCCTGGCCTGGAAATATGCGAGACTTCTGTGAGGACATGCATGCATTCAAAATAACGAAAATAACGAAAATAAGCTCCGCTCTAGAGCTTACACGCTGAGCACTTGTTTTGTTGTGCGGAGTTATCATTCACTACGCCTCCACAACCCGCGCCTACGCAAGGCATTTGTGCTTAAAGCATCACTACGCGTGCATATGCGATGCGGTGTTTCTGCTTTTGGGATTCATTCTTCTCTGTGGGCCAATCCTTTCTATGCCAAATTAAACTGAGACAGTCAAGAAAATGAATTGAATGCGGAACCACTGCTGTTGCTACTATTGATTGCAGCTGTGCACTGAGCAACCTCAGCAACATGCCTTAAGCATCGTGTGGTCATGGTGTGGTGATGGAGAGTGATTTGGTGGTAGTGGTGGTAGTGGTGGTAATCAAATAGTTGGTGGCTGCAAGGCAAGATTTGTGAGCAAAAGAGCAGCTATGTGTGTTCAAATTGTTCAACATGGACACGGGGTTATGGCGGGGGGGCCTGCAAGGCAGCACGGCAGCCATCAGTTTTGGGCTGAAACAATTGAACACCTTGAAACTTTAACTGGTGTTGATCAAACAATACGATGAATGACGATGAAGACAATACAATACCGATCCAAATCAAACCCCATGTAAATAAAACAAGACACCGCAACCCAAACATCATGGACGCAAAGCGCCTACACACAACACGTTCTTCCCAAAAACCTACGCCAGCCTACACACCCAAAGCGAATTTGCCGGGGCCAACGAACCACAGGCGACCTTTCAATTACGATGCGCATTTCATTTCATTACGAGTGCATGTTTAAGTGTATCCACTTCCAGTAATCATGCAGCAGCAAGACATGCTCTTTTGACTCGTCCTTGTGACACAAACACCAGCTTGAGCACTTGCCAAAGTATGTCTTGTGCCACAGCATGAGGACCATGCCCACTCGTTCATCTCTTTGGCCAGAACATCGTTGAGTTCCGACTTTTCTTTCTTCGATTTCTCTTCCCCTTAGTGTTTTGAAATAACCGATTGCGAATAAACGCTCTCTTGGCGTGATTCCAAAAAGGATCACAGTGTATCTATGTTTGAGTCCTGATCACTGTTGTGTGTGATTGAATCGATCCCTGTGCTCCTAGTAAGAGATTCGTTGATCATCTGGGGGCACATCTGTCAGGAAGAAGCTGGGGTCAAGTTTCATCTCAATTGGAAGTTATGATTGGTTCTGAGTGGGCATTGCCAGTAATCTTAAAGTAAGTCTTGCTACAACGCAGCATAAATAGCTAATGCAATCAAAACACGATATACCGCCTCTGATAACTAAAGTTTGGTTCCACAACCAAACATAGAAAGTTGCCTTCAACCAAGAAGGAGCCCATGCTTAAAACAATATCAAACTAAAGTCTAGAGACTAATCCGTGATCCGTGCCTTCAAACTTGATGCAACCTAGTTGCTAGCTTTTTGCTCCTCGTGCCTTCAACGCTGCAGGAGCACAGCACAACAAGAGTTGTATATCTAGAATCTAGACAAAGGCTGAAAATGACGTTCAACATGTGGCAAGAGTGTCAGCTTTAGATTCCAGTTTCATATGGATGATTCGACTTGCAACACCTGCTGTGTTTGTCTGCTCCCGACACCTCTTCATCTTCTCCTCGTACTCTCTTCTTTCTCTTGCTTGCCTCTCTGCCACCTTGATAAGCCGGAGGAAATTAATGTCAAAATATATACAGTAACCCAAATAGGTGCTCCTGTAGAGTCTTTATGTTCTTGTTGACATGTAGCATCCCAGCTTTTGATGAACGCTGTCTAACATCCAAGACAGCTCCTACACTTGCTACAGTAATTAGGCTCATGTGGTTTCATTTCATGTTCTTCTTGAAGCCTCGAACAGCCGAATTGAGTCACTGATGCCAACTCGGCAGCTCATTCAGCCGTCTCAAGCGCACTGTGACTCGACCGGCAACCCTAATCAGTCCCATTGATCCATCATGCAAACAACTTGGTCCTTCATCTCCAAATGGGATCCCTTACCAATTGAGCTCGATCCAATGGTTTGGCCTCAGGGTCTGCAATATGTTGGAAGTGCTCAAATGCTCAATATGTGTACAAAGTGTTGTCAATTGCCCTGCGCCACACCAAGTTGCACCCTTTCCATCGAATCATAGTCATAGTCTGCAACAATGTCCAACATCTTTTTTTGTGAATCAAAGCAATCCTTAGTCTATCTCTTGATCTTCAAACTGGCATGTCGTCCTGGCCCCTGGCCTTGGGAGGAGGCGAGGCCGCTGGTGCCGAAGCCGCTGAAGCTGAGGCCGTAGGAGCTGCCTTGCCCATGTCCAGCTCCATGAGGTCCTTGGGCTGAGCTGAGTCTCAGCAACTTGTAGCTTTCCCAAATCCACCTGATCCGTCCACATGATGCTAAGATCCCAGCGGCCCCCGGCGCACTTCGCTGTGAACCAGTGGCTCTGTGGGCGCTCGCTGGGCCCGCTGGGCGTTGAGCCTGGATGTGTCTTCACGATGGGTTCTAAGGGTTTGAGTTCTTATTCTTTCTTTCTTTGTAGCCCGCTCCTGCTTAATTGAGTAGGTCCCTACTTAAGTAAGGAGGTAAGCTACTAGCAGCTAGCAATAGGAAGCTACATATGGATTGCTCACACTTCTTCAAGGAAACTCGCCCCCCCTGTTTGGGCGTGGGGCAGCTTCCTTGAAGCAACGCTCGCACTACTGTAATGATTTGGCTCCTAGACTTTTGTGCCAAGACTTGCTTCTTCGGTTCTTCCAAAGGGGAGACTGCAACGCTGTGTATATATATGATATTATATAATATTGATTAATATTGTCCAAGATTTCAAGGTCTTCCTTTCGAAGTGACCGGTAGAGACCTTCAGTAGCATGGTTTGTCGTAGATGTTTAAAATGTCCTATGCCAAACATTGCCAAACATTCACCCATGATGTCTATGTGGTGATGCAACAGCACTTGGGAAAGTGGGAGATCAACACCATTTGCTAGCAATGCGGACAAGTGCTGGAATATCTTGACTGGTCACAACTCCCGTCCTTTCACATCTCATGTGCAAGGACACAACCCCGTCAATGACAGGGATTGAACGTCAGCTCTGGGGTGATGGCCGATGATGAAGCACAAACGCTGGGCAGGCACAAAGCCTAGACACACATTTAAGACTGCAAACACGAGATGTGTCTCGACCACATCATTCGACTCCAGCGAAGCTGCGGGCAGAACTTGATTCCCTTGAGCATATGTCAGTCTAGTTTAAAATGGTCTAAGGTACTCATCCCTTTGAAACAAAATCAATTGATTTCCCTGAACTAATGCTTAAATCAAGTCAACCTCTTTTGTTGATGCATCAACAATTCTTCTGGTGAAGGAACATGCTGCTTCTGCTTGCAAGTTGCGGACTTTCAGGCGACTGACAAATGCACAAGTCGGATGCAATCCTTTGTTCTGCATCGTCCAGCCTTCACAGCAATCCCCCCATTGTACACTGGCACATAATCCTGATCTGAAGCCTGAGTCCACAGAGCTCTGTCCAGAAGGAATTCGCATCAAGTCATCCAAAGAATCCAATGAGGAGGAATTCAAC